CGGGCAGCCCAGAAAGCCAAGCGTCTGCTGGGCTGCATCCCCCGCAGTGTGGGCAGCGGGGCGAGGGGGGGATTCTGCCCCTCTGCTCCGATGTCCTGAGACCCCCCCGGAGCCCCGCGTCCAGCTCGGGGGTCCTCAGCACGGGAAGGACATGGAGCTGCTGGAGCGGGGCCAGAGGAGGCCACCAAAATGGTCCGAGGGCTGGAACCCCTCTGCTGTGGGGACAGGCTGAGAGCTGGGGGTGTGCAGCCTGGAGAGGAGGAGGCTGCGGGCAGAGCTGACTGCGGCCTCGCAGTGGTTAACGGGGGCTGGTAAGAAAGGTGGGGACAGGCTTTTTAGCAGGGCCTGCAGCGACAGGACAAGGGGGGATGGTTTTAAACTGACAGAGGGGAGATGCAGACTGGATCTAAGGAACAAATCTTTTACACTGAGGCTGGTGAGACACTGGCCCAGGTTGCCCAGAGCGGTGGGAGATGCCCCATCCCTGGACACACTCAAGGCCAGGCTGGACGGGGCTGTGAGCACCCTGCTCTGGGTGAAGATGTCCCTGCCCATGGCAGGGGTTGGGGGGGATGGGCTTTGAAGGTCCCTTCCATCCCAAACCATCCTGTGATTTGATGACACGGAGCTGGTGCTGCAGCCAAAGCAAGCAGGGACCTGAGCAGGGACCGTGTCTGAGGAGGGGAGGGCAGCGGGGACTCAGTGAATCACAGAATCGTTTAGGTTGGAAAAGACCCGTAAGGTCATCGAGTCCAACCGTTCACCCAGCGCTGCCAAGGCCACCACTAAACCATGGCCCTCAGCACCACATCTCCCCGGCTGTTAAATCCCTCCAGGGACGGGGACTCAGCCCCTGCCCCGGGCAGCCTGGGCCAGGGCCTGACAGCCCTTTGGGGGAGGAATTGTCCCTAATACCCAACCCAACCCTGCCCTGGCGCAGCTTGAGGCCGTTCCCTCTCGTCCCATCGCTTGTTCCTGGGGAGAAGAGACCGACCCCCCCGGCTCCAGCCTCCTTTCAGGCTGTTGCAGAGAGCGATGAGGGCTCCCCTCAGCCTCCTCTTCTCCAGGCTGAGCACCCCCAGCTCCCCCAGCCGCTCCTCCCCAGCCTTGTGCTCCAGAC